AAATACTGTAGTTTTTAAATGCAAGAGTTTATTATTTTTTATTTAGTAACCAACTTGCAGATGAAATATTTGTGAGAGTCTTTATATAAAATTAGAGTAATTTTTTTCTTAAAAAAATAAAATTTGACGATCAAGAATTTCATAAAAAAAATCAAAATTAAGTAAATATTGAAAATACATTAATTAAGTCATGATATGTGTCCTGGATTGGATCGACACTTGCCCCATTTTTGGGGAGGTCCAATCCAGTGTCTTTATCAAAGGCCCAAAAGCATGCAGCCCAATTTAAGAACCGTTGGGCATTTTCCCATGTGCCCGCTAGGAGGATGTAACACACGTGTCCACATCATCATCATCCTGTCATTTGGGAGTAATGGGTCTAACTCCTGCTTTCTCGGGGAAGTTGACTAGGGAGGAGGCTACGTGCTAGACTACATACACACGTAAACCCTGACAGTCTTCGTTGTTGGGCCTCATTGTGGTCCATCGTTGAAGTCCCTGGCCCAACGCTGGGGGCTATAAATACCCTCTCACTTGAGAGAGTCAGGTATTCATAATTACTCACTCACTCTCATATTTGCTAGCACTCGTTCTGAAACTTACTTTGGCATCAGAGTATCTTGCAGGTACCCTCACTTCACATTCAACTCTGCTCGCCTCAAAGCTTAAAGGCTTTGACAATTCCTTCTAGTCAGGTACGATTAGTGGCGCCGTTTGTGGGAAACAACTTTTTTTGTCTTCCTCTCAAGACCAAAGCAACTTTTCATCAAATTGTACGATTGTCATGGCCGAAGAAACTGTGGATAATAACCGAAACCCTCACCTCGTCGACCCCAACAACAACAATAACTTCGGCGACAACAGTGACGACAACAACAATACCGGCAATGACATCAACATGCCCGATCTCGAGCAAAACTACAAAGACGACTGACTGCCTCTTCATCATCCCGCTCGCAACCGCGTGAGGAAGACTATCATCCTCCCCAGAATTATGAACCAAATGTATTACAGGAGGTCCCCGTTCCAGCTGGTGCAGACGCCACGACCAGAGCCCTATTCGCGGTTATCAACCAAACCAACTATATGATCTTCTCATAGGGTGAGCGGTTGAGAGTGCTCGAGCAAACTCGTCGGGCCCCTAGAAGGCATAGAAGACCCGACACTCCTCCTCCCCAGCATAATGAAGACTTTCCCCAATCTCCCTCGCGAAGATGTATGCAGGATATCTCGTGCAGCCTTTCTTCGTGACGAGCTGGTCGACGTCCTGCGTTGGAGAGGAGCCAGCCCGAAGCTACGGGAAGGCGGGTCACACTCCGCCATGAGGGAATAACGATCTCCTGGAAACAACAGAAACAAGGGAAACGGCGAAGGACAGCCTAGGCCAAGGGATCCTCTCTGCCGCCAAGGCCATCACAACGACCACCATTACAATCGGCCCCCTTCCTTCTCTCCAGACAGAAGTGGAAAACATCACCCCCGCGGTCCAATGTCCTAAGCAATCATGGAGGCTCCCATTCCCAGGGGAATGGAGAAGCCTCCCTTACTAAAGGAGTATAAAGTATTGCAGACCCTGTCGACCATATCGACGGGTTTGAAGCAATGCTCCATTACCACAATGTCGGGGGGGCCAATTAAATGTCGATTGTTCCCTACGACCTAGAGAAAGACAACCATGGATTGGTACAAGAACCTCTCCCCCGGGTCTATCACCTCCTAGAGGAGACTCAAGAACCAGTTCATCAGCTCCTTCACTGCGTCTCGTCGACATACGTAGACGGAGGCTGCCCTTGAGTCAATCATCTAGAGAAGCAACGAGACCCTCATGAAATACATTGATCGGTTCAATCGCGAGGCCATTCTGGTCCCGTGCGCCGGTCACATGAAAAGGTAACTGCTCGAAAGAGGACTCCTTCCGAGCACATAATTTAGGAAGGCCGTCGGCATTGATCCCCTCAGGTCTTTCGACGCTCTCCTCGAAAAGGCCAGGGCATGCATGAACTACAAGGAGAAAGAAGTGGCCAACAAAGCCTGCGATTTGAGGAACTGCTGACAAGCTAACATCCCACGGCACCAGGACGTGGTCCCTTCTCGACAGACTGGGGAGAAGAGAAGGGAAGATAAACCTCGCGATCCCCGCGAGCATAGAGGACGAGCAAGGCGGTTCACAAAGTATACCCCACTGACCGCTTTCCGCAATCATATCCTTACAAAGTTCTCTAACACTTAGTTCAAGGACGGCGGTGTCAGACGTCCTCGACCCGCTCCTATAAAGCTAGGGGTTGTCCGAACAAAATATTGTCAGTACCATTGTAGCCACGGGCACTTGACGAAATACTTCGTCAACCTCAAGGATGTTATCGAGACTCTCATTAACGGTGGGAGACTTGGGTAGCACAG